CCTGGATGGACCCGATCATAGAATTCATCACAAACGGAAATCTACCAAGCGATGCCAGGTTGGCTAGAAGCATCAGAGCCCGAGCTCCTAGGTACTGTATGATCAGCGGTGTCCTCTTTCGCAGAAGTATTACTCTTCCATACCTAAGGTGCCTTAGGCCATCAGAATCATCCCAGGCCCTTGCTGAAGTTCATGAAGGTGTGTGCGGGAATCATCAAGGAGCCAGGGCCTTGGCCTTTAAACTCGTACGATATGGATACTACTGGCCAGCTATGGAAAAAGACGCCTCAGAATATGTTAAGAGATGTGATAGGCGCCAGAGGTTTGGTAATGTTATCCGCTCACCAGCCGAAGACCTCACCAACATTAACTGCTCGGCCCCGTTTGAACAATGGGGAGTTGACATCCTCGGCCCCTTTCCTGTGACAAGAGGTCAATTAAAATTTGTTGCTGTAGCAGTAGAATACTTCACAAAATGGGTAGAGGCCGAGGCTCTCGCCACAATATCAGAGCCCAAGCTAAGAGCCTTCACTTGGAGGTCTATCATTTGCAGGTTTGGGATACCAAAGGTCCTCATCACCGACAATGGCAGGCAATTTGACAACCAACAGTTTAGAAACTTTTGCTCAAACCTTGGGATTGATCACCGTCTGACATCAGTTTCGCATCCTCAAAGCAACGGTCTGGCCGAGGTAACAAATCGAATCATATTGCAAGACCTCCGAACAAGAATAAGCGATGCTAGGGGTTCTTGGTCCGACGAGCTGCCTTCTATACTTTGGACGTATAGAACAACTCATAGGACAACCACAGGAGAAACCCCTTTTATGTTAGCCTATGGCATTGAAGCAATGGTCCCAGTGGAAATTAGACTGCCAAGCCATATGAGGCTCGTGCCAGAAACCTCGGGCCATACAACTGAACATCTTGATCTCTTGGAAGAAGTACGGGAGCAAGCCGCTATAAAAGTGGCCTCTTACCAAACTAAGACAGCAAAACATTTTAATAACAAAGTCAAGGCTCGGAGGTTCAGAGTAGGCGATTTGGTCTTGAGAAGGGCCGAAGCAGCAGGCCACCCCCCAGGGAAACTCGGGCCCATTTGGGATGGGCCCTTTGAGGTCATACGACAGGTTCGCAAAGGAGCATACAGCCTAAGAGACGCTTCGGGTAGACCTCTTCCGAGGCCCTGGAATGCCGACAATCTGAAAATATATTACAAGTAAAATTCCCGACGCCTTTGAGGAGATTTTCTTTTTCTGCATTTTATTTCTAGTTTTACGGGCCTACGTGCCCATGCATGTTTTCCGTTCTCTTTTGTAATGAACTACGTTCGGCTTGATCCCGCTTGGGTACGTAGGCAGCTTGGATGCATTATAAATCCAAGTCCAGTCCAAACAATTAATAAATCCAAACCCCGGGTATAACGACCCGATAGTTTGCTTTGCGTCCAGCAAGCCATCTAAAGCCTTGCCCTCGAGCAAGCCCCCTTAAAAAGCCTTGCCCTCGAGCAAGCCCCCTTTAAGCCTTGTCCTCGACAAGCCAATGTAAGCCTTGCCCTCGAGCAAGCCCCTTTAAGCCTTGCCCTCGAGCAAGCCCCTTTAAGCCTTGTCCTTGACAAGACAATGTAAGCCTTGCCCTCGAGCAAACCCCTTTAAGCCTTGGCCTCGAGCAAGCCGTCTAAAGCCTGGCCTCGAGCAAGCACCAAAATCTTGGAGCTCATAATCAGCACATCAAAATAGTACAGCACAAGTATAAATACCGAGGACATATATCCCGACCATATATCCTTGTATTTTCGTCCAAGCCTGAAAATAAAAGCTCGGGATAAACTCATGTGCAAAGGTCGGTCACAATTATTCCTACTCCTCGGGGACGACCATCCCTTGAACTTAATCCTCGAGTGTTAAGTGTGTAAAAAACTATACTGTCCTCGGCATTATCACTTGTTTAAAAATTGAGTTATTCTCAATCGTCGAGATGATTAATTAGTCGTCAAAAATAATTAATCTTCTTTACTCGTCGAGGTAACTTGTCTATATGCTCGGGGTTCACACTTGGATGTTCCAAGATAACTTTACTATCTAGTCCTCATGGTAACTTGTTTAATGCTCGGGGTCAACAAAGATGTTCCCAAATAATTTTACAGTTTGAGTCCCCGGGATGAATTTGTTTTCGTTATAATATTCACGAATTATGTCCTCGAGGTGTTTCACTACTCTAGGCGTCGAGTAACCATCTAACCTCGGGCTATTTGAATGATCGAGATACATTGACACAGCAGAAGGAAAATACTTCATCGAGTAAAATACATGTTCAAATTACAAAACGGAAGGGCTATCATCATACAAAAAACAAACAAAAACTAATCTAAGTCCTCGGCCCTTTCTCCCGAAGCTGTGCTCCCCTGCTCCTCCACCTCGTCCTCGCCGTCAACATCGACCTCTTGGTCCTCGACGGTTTCCTCGGACTCTGACAGCTCGAGAGTATCAGCAATCTCAGGGATGTTCTTTAGATCCTCGGGATTAGCATCGGGCTTCGATCTCAAAAACGCCCGAGCTTCCTTGAAGGCATGGAAGTACGAGCCCATAGCATACTCTCCCTTGAGGCCGTTAAACTCCTCAGACATTTTAAAGTCCTCAATCGCGACCCCTCGAGCTTCAGCCAGGCGAGCCTCAAAATCAACCTTCAAACGCTCGATCTCGAGCTTTAAACCTTCAGCCTCGCCCTTAGCAGTTCCAGCCTCTTCTCGAGCTCTATGGGCATCATTTTTCGAATCCTCGAGCTCCTTCCGGAGAAGGAACCGTTCAGCCTCCAAGTCGGCTATCCTCTTCTCCAGTGCTCGAGAAGAGTCCTCGAGTTCAGTAGTATTTTGGGCCTCATCTTTCCCCTTCAGAGAAAGGCCTCGGGCAATGCTCAAAGCCTACAACATATAAACCCGAGCTTAAAATAATCACAGTGTTTAAACCTT